CTCTAAAGTGGTTTGAATGTGGCCCTCGATTATGCAAAACTCTGCACTTTCGATAGCATTTTCAAAGCACTCCTTTTTGAAAGATTCAATCATTTTTTTAATGTGAACTTTGATCTGATCTTCTTCTGGAACGTTGCCAAAGTTGGTCTGAAATATTTAAAGAATTGAATAGTTTAGAGCCAAACAAGCTGACAAACCGTGAGCAAGGAAACTCGGAGCTCATTGTTCAGCTCATTGAGTCGAGTTTCAATGAATTGCGATTTAAGGGTGATAATTTTTGTGTTCAGCGTTTCCTAAAGCAAATGATAACAAATTCTTTAGTAAAATTGAACAGTTACCTTCATTGAATGAATGGTCGTTGAGGGAATTGTAAAGCTACCGTATTTCTCAAGAATTGCATCCCTTTCCCAGTGCAAAGCCTCTTTTAGAGTTGAAATCTGTTTGAAAGGTTTGTTAATGTTGATTGAAATGATTTTTATCTTAGTATAAGTATTTTAGTATCAATTTTTAAACCTACCTTGTGAATTCTCGTTCTAAATTCTTGGGCAAACTTCTCAGTCGCTTTCAACGCGTCTTTCTCCTTTTTCGGTTGAGCAAACTGGTTTTTCTTCTCCAGAATCATTTCCTAAGGTAAAAATGTTTTTAGTATCTGTTGGTACTGTTTGAAAATTGTATTTTTACCCATCAACCAACCAGAATAGATGTCAATTTTCTCAGTATGTTTTACGCGATATGAGAAAATACGAGAAAAGAGTATAAATGGCTTGATTAAGTTTAGTTTAGATTCATTCATTTGAGCTTAAATCTTTTACAAAAAACCACATAAAATCTAGAATAAAATATGCTAAAATCCATGATGAAGTAAGTAGTTAAAGATCAATAAGGTGTCAAAATACCGAAGACACAATTTAACAGGTAAACTTAGGTAAACTAAGCCATTTCAAGTCGTTCAATTACCCAGTTCAGTCACAGAATGAACAAAGCAATGAAATACTTTTTTCTTACCTCAATTTTTGGATCCAATGAGATTTTGCTACTTTTTACCTCTACAGTCGTTTCAAAGCCCTCAGTAGCATCATCCAAAACGACTTTTGTGTTCATCTCTCTCATCCGTTTCGTTTCGCGCCTCAATGCGAGATCTTTTTCGATAAAATCAAGAGATTGGGTGTAAATCTTCTAAATAAGTACTCGATTGCAATTTGAAATCAAGTTTAGCTACCAACCATCAGCTCTATCTGATACTTCTTTTCAATCAATCCCCATTCCTTTTCAGTAAACTCTTGTGAATCCAAAGTTTTTCTCAATTTTCCGATCATCAATTTAACTTTTGCATGACCATCCTCCAAAGTTGGTAGAGAGTCGAATTTTGTCTGGAACTGGTTTTTCCAAATTGTAACCTAAGAAACCTTACCTCTCGTAGCTGTTGACTAAACTCGACTTTCAATTTTGAGAACGATTTCTCAATGTGGGCACTTAGAAGTATTTTGATTCGGCTTTCCAACATGTCCTGTAACAGAAAAAGATACTTCAGAGGGACTTAGACTTAGCCAATGTTTATCTCATACCTATTTTCTTGTAGTTAATGTACATAACTAGAGTGTGCTTTTTTCAAATAAGCAATTACTTGATTAAATTTGCATTTAAGATTTTTCCTTAAGCAATTGTCAAGTGAATGTCAAGTAATGCGCATTCTAAACTGCACCTAGATATTCTCCAATTTGAAATATATAAAGTAAACTTACAAACTCATTTTCATTTTCTCTTAGTAAAACTTTTTTTGATCATGAAATAGAGCTTGAAATTTCTTGAAATATATAAGGCAAACCTTCAAGCTAATTTTCATCTTGTTTTCCCTTAGTCAAACGTTTTTTCACCAATAGAGCTTACAGAATGCAAAATCAACAGTGAAAAAAACGTTTGAAAGGGTCGATTTTAAAGGGCCGAATTTCCGTTGTACACCTATCGACGAAGGGATGGGAAATGCAAATGTCTAGAAAACACTCTATAACTGTCATTCCTAACTGTCACATAACTGCTATTGCTTAGAGTTATTTAGAATAAACTCCTTACCTCTAAGGTCTTGATCGTTGAATCGGAGATCGAGCTCAATGCACCTTCACTTCTGATGGAAGAGCTTCGTTTCAAGAGCTGTGCCTTGTCCAAATCGTGGATCTGAAAGTACCCTTACAGTTCTCTATGGTACTCTATAGTAACCATACTGTATCCTCAGCTACTGTACTCCTCAGCTACCCAGCTTATCTAAGGAAAGATTCATCTGAAGAGCGTTTCTATTTTCCATTACCTCCGGTATCTCGGCTCTCCACTTCCTCGCGAAAGCTTCAACTCGTTGCAAGAAAGCCTTCTCTTCTTGGCGAATTTTGAATTCTCTTTGCTTTTCATCCAACAAAGCCTAAATTTCATTGCAAATCATTGCATCTTATTGTCACTTCTAAACCTGAATTTTTGGCTCTAGAAGTGCTCTCGCTTCCCCGACATTCGCCTCTTTCAAAAGCTCTTTCAGTTTTTTTTCTGAAGAACTTCGACCAGACTTTTCAGCAGCTTCAATATTATCACTGGTTGTTCCCTAAAAACAATAAGATTTATTATAATCTGAGCTATTACTTTTAAAGCATTCTGGAAGATATCAAAGGCTTTATTCACAGCAAAAGAGATGCTCGCTTCTTTCGGCATCTAAATGAATTAAATAATGTTGTCCTAAACTTTAAAAAGTTCAAAAGTTTGAATAAATTTGAAACCTTGAAACCATTCACCGGTCTACAATCTCGAAAAACGTTCACTCGTTCTCTCGTCACTCCGATGAGCGTTGACCAAGGATTTTCTAGATTCATTTCTATTCTAAACCAAAAAATGATTATGAAATTGAAGAGAATTTAGAAAAACGATCAGAAATTCGTTTAAGCCGAATTATAAAGTAAAATGAAATTTGTTTTATTGATTTTAAACAGAAATCAAGAAATTTAAATATCAAGAATTTATTGTACAGTCAAAACTGGGAAGCATTTTCAAAAGATCTAACTAAAGTGAGTTATAAAGCTGGAAAGAAATTTGAGTACCAATAAAAAACTCACAAAAGAAAAAAAAGCTCAAAAAGGACTCTTTTTAACAAAGAAATCGATATTTAAATAAAATTAACAATTTACAAACAAAAAAATATTAATTTAAACTATTGTTGATCTTTTTCAAATCAATTTTTCATTCAACTTTCTTCAGAAAATTTTCTTGCAACACATTTTTCGTCGGCTATTTTTCTCAGCTCAGCGATAAAAACGATAAAAATTTGGACTGATGCAACGGTATTTGGGGAAAATTTCATCAAAAACAAAAATTTGAACATTTTTCTGCTTCGTTTTTTTCATTTTGATTCTTCGGATGTACCTTGTGTGAATGTGTAACGTACCCTTTCTGGCACACTTGATTTAGTTGCTTTTGTCCGATTCAACTTTCCTCAATCAACTAGTTTCATTTTTTCGTACTCTAAGCTCCTTTTTAAGCTCCCCTTCTGGTGCACTTGATGCCGCACTTTCTCTTGACATTGAGCGAGAAATACAACATTAAGTGAGCTAGAAGGAGTGTGTTTAGAAACTTTGTGAGTACAATGTACACCTGCCGATTACAGTCCAATTTGTGAGTCTTTTAATTTCACAAGTTTTTGAATACTCGGCACAAAGCGATTTCCCTGTTGCCATAGAATTTGCCCAAAAGTAGCAGATTGCGGCAAGATTATGCTAGCTTTTGAAAAAGGAAGCTCACTAGCAGAAGTTCATTAGCATTTCATTGCCAATCACTTCCAAGTTCGCAAAGAAGACCAAGATCGACTAGAAGAGTTAAGAAAAAAACAAGAAAAAGCTAATGCTGAAAAAAAGAAAAGGAAAAAGAGCTAAAAAAAAACAAAAAAAACAGAGAACAAAAAAATATGGCACAATTGTATACAGTATTATACAGTATACAGCCACCGTATCCAGTGTTTATCCAAGTTTGAACTGATTTTTTTTGAGGGTATTAATGCTGAAAGTCTAGCCAAAAGTAGCAGATTGGAATACGGTGCTTTCTATTAGCGGCAAGATTACGGTAGCTTTTGCAAAAGGAAGCTCATCAGCAGAAGTTCATTAGCACTTCATTTCCAATCACTTCCAGGTTCGCAAAGAAACCAAAGATCGCAAAGAGGAGTTAAGAAAACAACAAGAAAAAGCGGCTGCTGAACAGAAAGAAAAAGAGGAAAGAGAAAGAGCTGAAAGAGAAAAAGGATTGATTCGGAGAATTTGGAGATGGCTTTATTAAAGAAATTTTCTTCAGAAGTTGAGCTGTGCCTTTACTTTTACAATGTTTTTGCTTGGTTTTTATTAAAGCTACTTTTTGCTGTAATTGTAAACTTGCCAGCTGATCTAGGATCACGATTTTGAGCATAGCTTTTTCCTCATTTCATTTCGTATTGTTTTTGGTGAGTTTGAAATATAATCACTAAATATTCTTACTAAAAATCTAGAAACACGATTGATTTGGCACTTGTTTTCTTCTCTGGCATGGAAAAAACGCTTGGCTTTTGATTTGGCTTTTGATTTGGCTTTCGACTTGGTTTTTGACTTGGATTTTGATTTGGCTTTTGATTTGGTTTTTGACTTAGCTTTTGACTTACCTTTTTACTCGGCTTTTCACTTAACTTAAAGCCTTTGTATTTCCTCTTTCTTCTAGATACCGGAATGGTTAGTGCAATTGCCTGGAAAGCAAAAGACCAAAAGTTCAATCGCTCTCCACAAATCTTTCTTTACATTCCTTGCTTTATTATCAAAATACATTGCTGATCAACTTTGCTTCTCTCTAACTGTACACTTTATTACAAAATTTGATTACAGAGTCAAAATTTATTGATGAAAAACAATGTGCCAACTGTCGGACTGCCCTGTTTCACCGAATTACTCCTCTCTTTTGGTTGTTTCCATTCGTGATTGATCATTTTATTCGGTCTTGTCTCAATCACTTCATCGATCCTCTTGCAAGTGCTTCGCCAGTTTTCCAGTGAATCTTTTGACTAAACACAATAACACCTCCTCGTGCGCTCAGTTCTACTTTGAACCCAAGGCACGTGCGAGGTAAGTAATCTTTAAACTTGACTCAGACCCAGATTTGGCATTGTCTTGTGCTTTGTGCTCAAAAATGTAAACACATCCCTTCCGGCGCACTGAATTCTCGATTTTTCTCGTGGCAACAGTCTGCTTCCGAGAAAAAAATGATGCATTCAGTGCACCAGAAAAGGTGAGTTTACGCTTTTGAGCAGTCCAAGGAACAAGCTAGGAACTTTACAGGAAGTAACTCTACAGGAAGTATTGGGTTGGGGAGAATGAGTCGGCGCCGAAAATCAAAGAAATTTCTAAAACTTATAGCAGACTTTGTCAAATGATATGCGTTTGATATCCGTAGAAGGGTAACTAATTCTCTACAAAATAATATTTAAAAGAGAACTCAAACAGCGCCTCAACTCAACAAAGGATCATTTTTTCACAAAATCGATAAACTGTTATCTAGAGTAAACGGTTGGAGGGATCTTCCTGAAAATTTGGTAACTTATGTAATTGAGTGTGCTCTATCTTTTTTATATAAACACCAAAGGAGGTTTATGTGGAAGAAACTGTTCAAGCAATGAGTCGGACTTTTTGTCATTTTGATTAGCTGTGTTTGGGAATCCATAAAATCCCAAAAAAGAAAAGCTTTGTGGAATCTCTCAAAAGCCATTTTGTAAAGAAATAGTGGACCATTTTGATGAAACAAAACGTGTATTTAAAGAAGGTTTTATGGGTGCAAAAAGTTTCTTTAAATTTCGGCGCCGACTCATTCTCCCCAACCCAATAACTCTACAGTCGGCTAGTAAACTACTTAGGTAATCAGTAGAGGTGTGTTTTGTGTCCATTGGAAACAAGCCTTTCCTGGTGCAGTGAATTCTTCATTTTTCTCATGACAACGATTGATATCAAGAGATAAATAAAGAATTTAGTGCACCAGAAAGGGTGTGTTTAAACTTGTTAAGCCCAAAGTTTAAAGTTTCAGCAGGCTAGACTGTGATGCTATTGATTCAGCGTTTTCCGAGGTGCACTTGCAGTCCAAATCTGAAGCTACAGGAAAGCATAAGACCCATTGGTAAAGCGTTCATCCGGTAAGCGAGAGGTCGCTGGTTCGAATCCCAGCGCCGACCATATCAGCCTCAACTCATAAAAGGACCGGCGTTTCCAACTCTACCGTAATCCAGCTATCTCGTTAGATCAGTAAGGGTAAGGATTACGGTAAGTAGCTCAGTTGGACACACTTTGTGTAGGACTGGGACTCAGACTGGGACTGTGCGCCGCTGGAGTTGAACCCGCGATCTCTCGCTTTTCGATCGCTCTACCGCTGAGCTACGACGCAACTGGTCCTACTGCCGCTAGAAGGCCTTACCGCCTTACTCTTCACCAATTGTGTTACTTCAAAACAAAAGCTAAGAGGATTATTTCCCAAAACTTACCCAATAGCCTGAATGTTGCACTGGAATTATGGAGGTGAACGTTGATCTATCTTTCACAAAATCTTCATCGAAATCCTTTCCCCACTCTTTCCAATTCGGACGATTTTGAGAAAGATCATTGTTTTGAGCCTGGAAATGCAAAAATTGATCAGAATTTGACTCTAATTTACACTGCAATACTAGATCTGTATTCATTTTCCCCCCAATTTTGTTCTCAAAAGCTCTCACCACAACACTTGAGTCGCTTCTCCCTTTTGTTTGTGACGAAAAACCGTTTACTGCCCTCAGTTCAATTTTGAGTTCAGTCTGAAATGTTTTTCTTTGTGCTTACGGTTTAATAAGATCACAATACTATATTATCATACCTCTAAACGGTCAATGTCAAGTGACGCACCGAAAATCGGTTTCAAATAATGAGCACTGTCTTGGATAAATTTCTGGCAAAAATTTGCCGACGTTTCTCCACTCAATTCTAATGACTCCAATTTCTTTGCGTAGTTCTTTATCGAATTTTGGAGTAAGCATTTGACTTTATTGCGATCAGCAGACCAAATCTGAAGCTTTTGCAAGTCTAGGTGAATAAAGTCCAAATCTAAAGTCTAGCTAACATTTGAACCATACCTTTGTCGAGACATCTTTCTGAAATTTTGCCAAATCGTTCCTCAAAAGATTGTCGGCTTGAATTCCTAAAAATCTCTCTGCTTTTAGATTTCTTTTGCGAAAGAAACCCGTAGCTGTTGACAACATCTCAAAGAGTTCCGAATCATCAAGCTCTTTTAGATCCAGTTCCCCATTTTCAAATGAATGTGAGCAACAAGGTGATTGATCTGTTGACGTTGTAGCCTCCATTTGTTTAGGCTGAAAATTGGTGATTCATAGATGAAGTATTGGAGTCTTGATACTCTAACCGACCTTGACTAAGACTCCATGAAGTCAAGGTCAAGTCTGACACCGGTTCAAGGCTTGTAAGTCAGCCAGGGAGGTTCAGTTACGGCCAGTTACGGCCAGTTACTACCAGTTACTGCCAGTTCTTACCAGTTCTGCCAGTTACAGTTACTATTACCAATCTGGCCAGGTACGGTAAGGCCAAAAGACCATAGGTTCAGCCTTCGTCTAAGATTGATTTTTGAAAAGTTCTGGGAGTTCAGCTAGGTTTAGGCAAGAAACTGAGATCTGGTCCAAGTAAAATTGCTTTCAGAACTGAAGATAAATTCCAGCAGAGCCTCGAGTCTAGCTACTTTACTTTCGTTTGACTTTTCAACTTTCTTTTCTTGGTCAAGTCAACTCTGACCTGTCCTAGGGCTCATCTTCATTTTTGAGGTGCTACAAATCATCAATCCTTGTATTCTTCAACTCACCAAGTCTTTCACCGAGTGCTCAGAGAGATAAGCCAAAAATTCGTCACGCTCACTATCGGGCAAAGAAATTTGCAAAGCTAAGCAAACCTCCGTAAAAAAGAAAACATTTTCTTCGTAGAGAAAATCTGACTAAAATTTTTGTTTACTTATCAAATTTCTAAAACTTACAGCCGATTTTTTAAAAAATTCGATCCAAATCGTTTTCAGCTTTTCCTTTAACAGCTCTTCAAGCACTTCTTTAGTATCATATTTTGATAGATTGTTTAAAAAGAGGTGAAGTTGGACTTGTGAAATATCTAATAAAACGGGAAAAGCTTCTTGAGATAAAGGTGATTGTTGAAAGACCTAAAAAAAAGATAATTTTGAAGAAAACTTATTCAAACTTCTTCAATCGATGAAAAAAGGCTTAGAGCATTGGCGGTGAGCAAGGATTTTTGATATTCACCTTCCTGAAAGTAAATCTTTTTTTAGAATCTCCTAAAAGTTATCGTAATCCATAACTCTGAGCAAGTTACCGTCATCCTGGCTGAGTTTCCGTCTTGATCAAGCTACCCTAATCCTAGACAGGTTGCCCATAACTCTGACCAAGTACCGTAATCCTGGCTAAGTTTCCGTTTTGATCAAACTACCCTAATCCTAGACAGGTTGCCCATAACTCTGACCAAGTACCGTCATCCTGGCTGAGTTTCCGTCTTGATCAAGCTACCGTATTCCTAGACAAATTGCCCATAACTCTGACCAAGTACCGTAATCCTGGCTAAGTTTCCGTTTTGATCAAACTACCCTAATCCTAGACAGGTTGCCCATAACTCTGACCAAGTACCGTAATCCTGGCTAAGTTTCCGTCGTGTTCAAGCTACCGTACTCCTAGACAAGTTGCCCATAACTCTGAGCAAGTTACCGTCATCCTGGCTGAGTTTCCGTCTTGAGCAAGCTACCCTAATCCTAATCAAGTTAGAAACCCAGGTCAATCTACCGTAATCCCAAATAGATAATTCTGAAAATTCACCTCTCCCTTTCGAATCGTCAAACATTTCCACTTCAGTCTCTTTCTCTCCGTCAACACAGTCTCATCGATTTTTTGACAAAGATAATCCTAAATCAAGACTATCCAACAAATTCCATAAGTAAAACCTTTTGTTTTTCAAAGCTTTCTGTGAAAGTTCGATCAATAAGTGAACTCTGGAAATCTTCCAGAAGAGAATTCATAAAGTAGAAGAGATATTTCTCTGGGAACCCTCCCGCTTCACACCAATAGATGAATTCTTGAAGGAGATCGGTGGCCAGATTCGAGATTTCTTTTGCGTTGATATCCTTGAATAGCTTAAATATTATCGTTAAACCTTTAGGGCCTTTGTGGTGACTTTAGCAGGCGTATTAGCTTGATTCATTTCATTCACAACTACACAGCCTCGTTACAGGTTACTGTAGATCAAGTATTTAGTCAATGATCGTTCAAAGTCTTGAATGAATCAAGTACCGTAATCCCTGGGAAGTTACCGTAATCCCGGGAGGGCTATCGTAATCCCGGGCAAGTTACCGTAGTCCCAGCAAGCTACCGTAATCCCGGACCAGTTACGTAACCCTCTTCTTCTTAAAGCTTGGATCCTGAGCCCATTGCTGTTTACTAGTTTAAGATGGGTAAATTTCTATCTCCAACTCCAACTCCAACTCCAAACCTCCAAAAGCCGCTCAAAAATCATTCTCTTTTCTTCGCGCTTCGCAGAAATCTTTTGAAGCATCTTGAAGGCATCCGTTTCAACTGAAATCGAATTTTCGGAAACAAACTAAATGACTTACCCAAACTACAAGCTTTCATTTCATCGTCTTCAGATAGCAACAGATTACTGTAATTGGATACAATTTCAAAAAATAATGCCAACTACCACAGAGGTCCAGAGACATCCTTTGAAAGATCCATAGTTGACTTTTCGTTGGACAAATTTTGATTCAAAGCCGTCAACGAAGAATATTTGGTGAGAAAAGAAGTAGCGAAAGACAAAATTTCTTCAAATTCTTTGTCCATTTTGATTTGTTTTTGTTTCGAATCATCGTTTGTGACTTGTTTTTCAGAATTTGATAGAATTTTGATCGGTTTTGGCTTGATTCCAAATGAAAAACGATGTCTTCTTGGTCTTTTTCGATCTGTTTCGATCACGAAATGTCGATATGTTTTATCGTTTTTTGACTGAGCATTCGAACACTTCGTTTCCCGCATTTTCTTCTTTTGGAGATCAAGAATCTTCTGAAAACAGTGCAAAATTAATCGATTTCTAAAGAATTGAAAATTTTTTATTGTTTATGTTTAGATTAAAACATTTTTGACTCAACCTGCCAGTGATTACTATCAGGAAACAAGTCTGGTTCGGTAATCGACTTGAAAGTGCTTAAAAACATCCATCTGTGCTGTCTTTAAGAGAGATTATCGTTGATTAACCTTGCCTGGGCAGTTAGCAGTTGCCTTTTGAAAGTTAACATTTGATACTTCTACATCTTTACCCTGTCAAAAAGTTAATATGCAAATTAATTGGAACTAGGGCAGATCAAAAAGCGCTGCCGGCACTTGAACCCGCCACCTTACGCTTACCGATCAACTTCGCTAATTATTACGCCACAACGTACTTGGTCTCCCTTCCTCGAGAGGGAGTCAACTCTTTGACTTCTTACTTCATCATTGAATTTCAGCATATTTTACCCAGATTTTGATGTTGTTTTGAATAAATTTAAACTAGAATGAATGAGTCTGAGCCATTTATAATATTTTCCTATTTTTATCTATCAAAAGAAATTCTGGGGAGAATTTAGATCTATCCTGATTGTTTGGCGGGGAAATGATGCAAAAATACCTATTTTAGATTTGAACCGGCTTTGAAAATTGTCTTCATGAGTCGACTTCTATCAGCCCCAGATAGTGTAGTAGTTAGTACCCGCGTCCGTCACATGTAAGGCCCGGGTTCCACTCCCGACCAGGAAATCGGTTCGATTCTTTTTTGGCTTTTATCAAGTTTTTCAAGTAAAAGTTGTTCAGATTAGTTTTCAATCCAATTTCATTGCATAAGTTAAGCTTGAAAGCTCCTGATCTTCATCCACAACTTTTCAAAGTTTATGAGATTTACATTTATTGTTTTAGATGGCGGAGTAATGAGGAAGTGCGTGGTATTTGATTCAGTGATGCTGAAAAACTTAACTCAGCAAGCTTTTCAAAAAGTTAGAAAGAATAGGCAAAAGATAAGAAAACGGAAATTGCTTTTGCTTTTTTGCTTTTGCTTTTGCAAGAATATAAATGATAAAACATGACTCACCGCAACCTTTTCCCCGATCCTTTTCCATTTCTCTTTCATCACCACTTCTCTCACCAAATCAATAGTTTCCAAACGAATATTTTCCCTTTTTTTCTTTAACAAATATTCTCTAGTAGGCTCCAGACTCTAAGAAATTTCTAAGAATTAGATTTTTCTTTTAATAAACCTTGAAAAACTCGTCCAGATCATAAAAATCAATATCCATTTGAGTAGTTTGTCAAGTAGAAGCTTTAGAAATTAGAATTAGAAAGCAAAGCAGCAAATTGTTGACAAAATTTGAGAGAGAACGGACTCGTGTCACGTGGATTCTTATCAAAAAAGTGGTTCACTTTGCAACCAAAATCATGAAAACTTGAAAAAACCTTGCGCAAGAGCTGAAAACCTTGCGCAAGCAGAGTTCAAAACTTTGAATCGGTAAACTCTTGTTGATCCGCTTTTAATAGGAAACCTTTTTTTGACGGAAATTTTATTGAAATCAAATTTATTTCCAAGGTCAATTTTGAAAAACAAATTCTTTTTGATGAAAAACGTTCAACGCTAAGTTTTCTAATTCGATTTGAGAAAAGGAAAAAAATCACGTAAGAAAAAACATTTACTGGCTGATTTTATCAAAAAACAGAACGCCAGTTGCGGCCAAAATATCCGGCAATGGAAAGATCGACTGATCTTCAGAAAATTAACAGAAAATTCTTCTAGAATTTTACTGAATATAACAAGAATAACAACAATAGTCAAAACAACAAAAAAACAGTTAAATCTCAAAGTTTCCTCCTCCAGGACTTTTCCAGCAACCCAATATCTAGTACAGTAAAACCTTGTTAGTAGAAAACTCTTTAGTAAATAAAGTTATTTATTGAATATAATTATTTAGTAAATATAGTTATTTATTGAATATAGTTATTTAGTAAATAGGTTTTCTAGCACCCTTTGACAAAAAACAAATTGACATTCAATTAAACTTCAATAGTCAATAGATTTTTCGATCTCCCTTGAGTCATTTACTAACGAGGTTTGTATTGTATTTAGTAACCGATTTTTCGTGTATTTCCCTAGTTTACCTTGTGTTTGTAATACTCCTCCAAAACTGTGATCAAAGTCGAGTGTTTTTCGTTTGGAATAGAGAGCTTCAACGTATCACACGCCTTTCGATAGTGATTTAAAACGTCCGCTTGAGCGAAACCGTGATTTGGCTAAATATGTAAGTTGAGACTTCGAAAAACTTTGAATTCACCAGCAGAGAAATGACGTCAATCCATTGATTCACGAAGATTCGATTCATCAATTTGCGAAGCTCACAATGTTTGCCATACTTTTGCAGAGTTGAGAAGAAAAATTGTCATCGACTCTTCGAAATTCAACAAGTTTTGCAATTTCTTGCTTTGTGATTCTTTTCGATCCAATCACTTTTTCGAAATCCTTAAATTTTTCAGTCTTACACCAAGAGATCGATTGACAAACTTTGACAGATCCCAAGATCTGGTTAGAGCCCAGACTTGGCAGAACCTGGACCTTGACTCTGGATCTCTTGGCCTGATTGACCTCATTTATAGACTCTAGAGTCCGGTTGGAACGCTGTCATGAAACTGGCTTCTGACCGAGCTCTGGCCCGGCCTTACAATTAGCTCGATTTTACAGGGTAGAACCCCAAAGTAAAATGACAATAAAGCACTAAATGACAACAATATTTTGGCTTTTTTGGACCGGCTTTGAAGTTTTCTTCTAACTATGCTATGCCAAAGCTGGCCTGGTCTTACAATCAGATTGGTTCTACAGAACTTAGAGTCCAGATAGAGCAACCCTAACGGTTATAGCCGAAAGTGTCTTAATCGCTCATCTTTAAATATTTTTAACTAAAAGCAGAATTAAAACTGAAAAAAATACAAGAAAAATCAAATCAAATCAAATGCAAAAGTATGACTAAAATCAAATGAAATCGAATCGAAACCTCATCCAAAACAATAAACTCAAAAATTTATTAAAGCTTGCTTAATGGTGAAAATCCTGCATTTCCTCAGCTCGTTTTTCGAATTTCTCTATTTCTTGGTCAGAGTCAGTTCTTTGACTCGATCTTGACCCAGATTGGTGATAGTTTATCGCTTGTGGATGCTTTCGATACTGTGACGTCGTTCCATATGAGTTAGCTATAAAATGATGATTTACAGGGATTTTCTTATCAAATATTGGTTTATTGGCTAAATTTTAGAACTGTTTTTAGATTTCTTACTGGCTGAAGCATAGAACCTTAACAATGGTATTATTTGAAAACAGAAAGCTAAGGACAAGTTTATTTAGTGTTTTGATAATGGTTTGATTGGTATGAAATGTCACTATTTTTCCGATTCTTGAAACTCGTAAACAAATAAAGTCAAGAACACTTTTCTTAAAACAATGAAACCGGGTTTCCCCACTTTTTGCTATTTCGAAATTCTGTCAACTTTTGGCTATTGAAAATCTGCCACTTGGACATCTGTGACACGTTATATTGCACGAACAAGAACATAATGGCCTCTAGTGTTCAGCTAATATTAAAAATGTGGAAGGAGAAGCTCTGGGGATAAACGAAGACAAACTGAGGAGTCTTCCAGCAGTTCAGCCGGATAATGCCAACGTGCTAGAAATTTTTCAAACCAACGGGCTTCCTTCCCAATAACAAAAGAGTACCAACTCCACAGAGCTGGACAGAAGAAATACCGATAGTCCTCCCAGCCGAAATCAGAGCAGCCATCGCCACCACCAAGACTGGAACAGCACCAGGGTCAGGGTGAGAGGCAAGGACAGTCCTGCTCTACAAGAAAGGAGACAAAGAAGATATCGGAAACTACAGGCCAATATCTCTGCTATCGGTCCTGTACAAGCTTTACACGAAGATTCTCCAACAACGAATAGAGCGGCAACTCGACGACTACCAGCCAGTGGAGCAGGCCGGCTTCCGCAAGAACTTCTCGGTGATTGACCACTTGCAAGCCGTCACCCAACTGATCGAAAAAACACGAAAATTCTGAATGCCACTCATCCTGGTGTTCGTCGATTACAAGAAGGCATTCGACTCAGTGGAACACGGCGCAGTGACACAAGCTCTTCTTGACGCAGGGATTGACCTCGGATATATCCACGCCATACAGGGCGGCTACACGGAGACTACCACCACCATCAAGATGTTCGAGAGGGAAGTCCACATCCCGATCAAGCGCAAGGCCACGACACAGACCACCGAACGAGCCCTGAGAACGACGCATCGAGCCCTTGAAAGGAACTCCTCAGGCACAATAGGAAGACGCAGCTCGACCAAGACCTAAGAAGTACGGATATGCGCCGGCTCTCGGGATTCAGAGATCCAGTGGAAGTGATCGAGAGAAAAAGACTCAGATGGGCCGGCCACGTAGAACAGACGACAGGTGGACGATACGGATCACATAGTGGCTACCACGAGACCAGAAGAGGCCCATCGGAAGACCAGCAACGAGGTGGAGCACAAGAGTGACACAAGACGTCGAACCAGAAACAACCAAGATAGGAAACGCTGGGTGACAACGCTGGGTGACAACAGCAAGGGATAGAGAAATTTGGAAGCAGGTTGTGATCTGCGCAAATAGGAACACCTAAGTGCGAAGACAGATAAAAAAATGACTTAACAGAAACAACAGCCTGAATTAAAAGACTTAACAGAGGTAACAGACATCCAGAAATGACAACGCGTTTCAATCAGCGCCGCTTATCTTTCTTGATGCAAGCGCAAATCGTTTTTACTCTTTACTTTGTGACAAAGGATGAAAATGAATTCTAACTCTCAACTTTCAGTGAAAATGTCTGCGAATGTGAAAATGTCTTAAACTTGCGCCTTCCGATAACTACTGATTCCGAGTGATGAGCAATGGTTTGATCACTAAACGCTCGATTTCGAATATGATGTGTCAAAAAGTGGCTTGCGGATTAGTTCGCATTAAAACCAAAAACCAAAAAAGGCATCTGGTCTTTGCCAGTAAAATGAGCTCAGAGTATCCAAAATAATGGAAAATATTGATAATGATTGCATGTAAAAGACTGAAAAAATCAGTTGTTTATTTTTAGCGACATTTCATACTCATCAACCCCATAACCAAGTTAGTTATTAAGCAATTGCCTGCCTGAATTGCGGATGATTGGAACCTTCGGGAAAGAGGATATTTCCCTCGATTTGTTCCCATCTTCCAGCCTCCTAAATGTCTCGGCTTGTCGTTGTTTCCCCTCATTTTCTCTTCGCTCCCGTTCTTCCCGTTCTCGCTTCTGAATTAAATTCTTGGAAACTAATTTACAAAACAAAAAACATTTTTCCTTATGTTGAACAACTCTTTTATATCGCTCAGTAAAATGAGATGGGTCCCATGCGGAACATTTAACGGAAGATCTTTGCGTACTCGTTCGTACTCGTTCAGCGTGTCCCACTCGCCGAAGCCTTTGCGTGGCTGAAAATTGGGGTCCTTGGTCAAGGTCCTTATCATCTTTTTGAATATGGAGTCTATCTTTAGAGCTGTAAACTAGGTCACGTCAGGCCTAAGCTATGCCAATGTCAGCCTCAATGAGTCCTCAGGACGTAGCATTAAAAAGTGACAACGGAAAATGTCTTTGAAATAATTCTGGCTGGAATGCAGACTGTTTATTGATTTGTTGTACCGGGAATTATCGACTCACCAAGCAGTAAAAGAAAAAGATCCAGTTGTCGACGAGCCCTTTGTCAAGCAGCTTAGACAATTCCTCATGTTTGTCATACTTGCAAAGAGTCCTCGAGAAAAAGTCGCGTTTACTTTTCGAGTATTCGATGAGTGCCGAGATTTTCGCAATGCTCAATGAGTCACACTCGAGCACATTGTGAAACTCCTAAAGGTTGAAATTTTTTGAAATAACTTCAGGAAAGCATGTTTAGCATTTTCGACTAATTGACTTGTGGCAAATTCATGATGTATAGTAGTGGTCAAAAGCTTGAACACATCCATCCGTGCGAAATTAAAAGGCTGTCATTTCGTCGCTAGTTAATGTTATTCAACTAACTAAAAACTTATTCTGTGTCATTTTTTTGCCTTTTCAACTCATTTTAGGTTATACCTTCATTTTGACTTTCTTTATATGTATTTCTTGAAATAACCTTGTTTTTGAGATGATCAAAAGTTTGAACACGCTTATGAAATAACAAAATTTATTGCTTTAAAAATAATAAGTCTTAATATTTAGTTGCGAATCCTTTAGCAGTTTTTTTTTTGTAAAAAAAATTTTTGAACTAGCTTCAGGATAGTATGTTCTTCACTAGCTTTCTACTCCTTTATTGACTTATGGAGAATCCATGATGTAAGTAACACTAAAGCTAACAAATCTCACTCAAACCTGAGCCAACAACTCGTTGAACACATCTCCGACCTTTTGCGCACAAACTTTCTTCTTTGCCGGCTAAATTCGGCTTTCACTAGATGGTCAAAATCTGATCGACTCACCTTCGATTTCCGTCTTTGCAACACTTTTCGCTTGAGATTTTGCGCGTCCGTCCATTTTGGGTTCTCCGTACGACGAATGATCTCATTCTAAAGTTGATATAGCAGCTCCGTTTGATAATTTACATGGATAATATCCAGATTCTAGGTTAGACTTTTTTAAGCCTTTTTTTTGTTCAAAATTGTGAGCATGCAGAAAATCCAGGTCCTGGTTTCTGTCTCTGACCTGGTCATAGAAAAAAGTTGGTTCATGAGCTAACAACTGTAAGCCAGGGTCCGGGCTCACCATCCGCAAGATCGCAAGATTTTGAACGCAAGTCTGGTTTATCAATAAAACTTGCGAGTTCGCAAGTCGCAAGTCGGTAATTCATTAACAAAATCTCGCGAGATTCAACTTGCGAAACTTTACAAAATCTTTCGACTTTTGCAAGTCACCCAATAAGGTGATTTGCGATATATAAAAACACTGAAAATCACTTTAAAAAGTAATATTTTTTAAAAACGGAAAAGTCGGAAGTCACAATTCGTAAGCCTCAAGTTCGCAAGCTCCAAGTTGCAAGTCCTAAGTTCTCGTAATTTGGTGATGGTGAACCCCGGCCAAGGCCTTCGACTGGCCACGGGATCTCGCTTTGCTGCAGACCTAACTAATAAAGCTCCAGACAGATCTGTCCGTAAGCCCGTTAGAAGCCTGACCTGGCCTGGCCTGAAATAACCCAATTTCCGGAAATGGATTCACAACGAATCGAAAAACAGTCCAAGATATAATATACAATATTCATTTGAACAAAAGTTCAACATTTTTGAGTTTTTTTTCAAAAACATCAATCTCAATGTGCTCAATGAACACAAACCTCGTATCCCCGAACATCGATGTCGATTCCATGGTGTTCCCGCATGTACAGAGTGCACTCGGTGTGGAATTTGTGCACAAAGTATATCATGATTTTTGAGTCGATTCGAGCCTCACACCACGCTGCATACTCCTGGTAGATCTCTTCGAAATGTCTCTGCTTTTCGTTTTTGCCATCGATTTGCTGAAACGCGACTTTTCTTTGCACAAGATTGGCTCAACCTCTAGAATTGTTTTCAAAACGCGAAACTTGATGTCCATCTCGCGGACAGCGTCGTCAACTAGCGTTTTCGAGACATATCGGTCGATCTCTGTGTCGGAGATTTCATCTGAAGTATCTTTATGACAATATTAGCTTTAGATTAAACCGTATTCTGGTGAGTCAGGGCGTGGCAAGTTGGTTGGCAATGAAGCACTAAATTACCACAATATTTTGGTCACTTGCTTTGCTTTTTGTTTTGTTTTAACTATGATCTTCTAAAGCGGGACTTTTGCATTGTTTTCCCGTCAAGATAAATGTAAATTACTCCAGTTTGTCTCTAGTTGGGGAAAGGTACTCGGAGAATAGTATACTTTATTAGGTTTATCTTCATTCATTCTAGCTCAAATCTATTCAAAAACTATGTAAAATCTAGCAAAATATGCTGAAATTCAATGATAGAGTAAGAAATCAAAGATCAGTTTGCATATTACTTCGTTACAAAGATGTAAAAGTATCATCAAAACTCTGACTTTAACAAACCTCCGTGAAACTACTCGATCCTCATTGGCATAGGTTGTTTCCTTTTGGTCACCTTCGAATCTTTGTCTTGTCTTTTCTATTCCCGAATCATCCACTATGTTCCCTTCATGAGCCAATTTAACTTCTTGCGAGGGTTGTGAAATAGGTTTGCAACAAGGCGGTGTTCGATGACTTTCCATTAGTTCCAAAGAAGTTTCAGCACTTTCTTTTTTCTTTTCCTCTTTGAACGTATCCAGCATATTTAGAGAACCATTTGATTGCGTTTTACAAATTCCATGCTCTTCCTCCAGATCATTTTCCGAATCAGAAGCAATATTGGAATAATTTGCGGAATCGCTTTTCTAAAGTGAGCCAAGATTCGCTAGAATTAGTCTCAAACCTGGATCTCGGCAGCCAATTCAGCTTCGAGCTCGGCTTTTTTGATCTCCGTGATTTTCTTTGAGGCAAGGATGTTCCGGCAAATCAAACCCGTTTTCTAAAAAGATAGATTAAAGGAGAACAGGAAACAGTTTAGTTAGATGAATAAACGTCCCACATGCTCGCTTTACTTTCAATAACTACCGGAATCTTGCTAGTTTTTATCCAATCTTTCAATATCTTTCGATATCTGACGCTAATCCTTACATAATCAAGAATGTTCAGGGATTAAAACAAGATAGGATTACGGTAACATTTCAACATTTGATACCATTTCAAACCTCTAAAGTGGTTTGAATCTTTCCCTCGATTATGCAAAACTCTGCACTTTCGATCGCATTTTCAAAGCACTCCTTTTTGAAAGATTGAATGATTTTTTTAATGTGAACTTTGATCTGATCTTCTTCTGGAACATTGCCAAAGTTGGTCTGAAATATTTAAAGAATTGAAAAGTCTAGAGCTAAATAAGCTGACAAACCGTGAGCAAGTAAACTCGGAGCTCATTGTTCAGCTCGTTAAGTCGAGTTTCAATGAATTGCGATTTAAGGGTGATAATTTTTGTGCTCAGCGCTTCCTAAAGCAAATGATAACAAACTCTTTAGTAAAATTGAACAGTTACCTTTATTGAATGAATGGTCGTTGAGAGCATTGTAAAGCTACCGTATTTCTCAAGAATTGAATTCCTTTCCCAGTGCAGAGCCTCTTTTAGAGTTGAAATCTGTTTGAAAGGTTTGTAAATCTTGATTGAAAATGATTTTTATCTTAGTATAAGTATTTTAGTATCAATTTTTAAACCTACCTTGTGAATTCGCGTTCGAAATTCTTGGGCAAACTTCTCAAACTCAGCCGCTTTCAAAGCGTCTTTCTCCTTTTTCATTTGAGCGAACTCGTTTTTCTTCTCCAGAATCATTTCCTATTGTAAAATTGTTTTTAGTATCTGTTGGTACTGTTGGAAAATTGTGTTTTTATGTTGTTTGTAAATGTTGATTGAAAATGATTTTTATCTTGGTATAAGTATTTTAGTATCAATTTTTAAGCCTACCTTTTGGATTTTCGTTCTAAATTCTTGGGCAAACTTCTCAGTCGCTTTCAACGCGTCTTTCTCCTTTTTCAGTTGAGCGAACTCGTTTTTCTTTGCCAGAATAATTTTCTATTGTAAAAAAAACGGTTTCATTATCTCTTGGTACTATCAATATACTTTTACATCGTTTTCTCGCCAACCAAAACAAAATAAATGTAAATTCCCTTTTTCTCTAGTTGGGTAAAGATCCGAAAAATAGTATAAATGACTAAACCGGAAACTGAATTTAACAGGTAAACTTGGGTAAACTAAGCCATTTCAAGTCGTTCAATTACCCAGTTCAGTCACATAATGAACCAAGCAATGTTGCTTCTACTTTTTCTCTTACCTCAATCTTTGGATCCAACAAAGCGTGAGCTTCAGCAATGGGATTTTCCTTTTTCAGCAACAGGGTTTCCAATTTTCGATCAGCTTCAGCTTTTCCTAAAGCTTCAGCCATTGACAAAGTTTCCGGAGTCGAAGTCTAAAATAATTTGTAAGCTTTTTCAGCTCTTATCGGCACTTTCAAAGTTGTCGGGTATTTTAAAAATTTTGTCCTTTGAGTGAAAGCGCTTAAAGACTAATAACTTTAGATCTAGTTCCAACTCTAGATTCAAACCAGATCCAGATCCAGTTCCGGATTTAGGATCAGGTCTAGGTCTAAGTCCAGCTGTAGCTCCAGCTCCAGTTCCAGGTTCAAAACAGGTCAAGATCCAGCTCCAAGTTTAGGAACAGGTTTAAGTTCAGGTTCAGCTCCAGTTCCAGGTCTGGACAATTTTATAGGTTATAGGCCTTCAGAGTGTAACGACTCATTCAAAATACCCGGGAAGCATTTTTTCAAAGCAGAAAGTAAAGCAAGAATCATTTTTCTTGGGCCAAGATACCTTGAGCGCTTCCGCAAAGACATCAAATGCTTTGTTCACTGCTTGGGTCTTCAAACGATTGGGTACCTCATAGGACATCTGAAATTTGAAAAAAACATGAAAGAAAGATCTGTACTTGTCTATCAGTTTATTCCTTTTCTAAAGAACGTCTTTTTTACAAAATACCATAATCAACGTTACATTCAATCAGCTCAATTTTGGTCAGATTCGATGAAGAATCAAGACCCACAAGGGAATGGTCTGAGCTCAAAGTTCGGAATCGACTGGAAACACAGTGCATGACATAGTATCGGCAATGGCGAACAAAATGCCACAAAAATTACCCGCTAATAGCCAAGGAAACGCAAGGAAACTAGCATGCGAAATCGGGATTCAAAACTAGTTCCTTTATAAGGCTTCACTCACTACCCGCGAAAGATGAGCTCATGGCCCAGTGGATAAAGGCTTAGCTCTATGAAACCGCGGTCGGTTTTTTGCCCTCGGGTTCAATTCCGTTCGCATGCAAAATTTTTCGTTTTTTTTGTTTTTTTGTTTTTTCCCTGTGTGTGCATCGAGCACTGGAATGCCTAGAAAACTGAGAACATTTCTGAAATTGATCTGCTTCAAATTGTGATTGAAAGTAACTATAATATATTTTCTCGGTTTCCCGGTTGAAAACTTGTATCGCAGAGGGTCCCATAGGCAAAAATGTTATTTTATTAAAATTTAGTTTGCTTTAAAAACGAAATCGTTCCAAGAACCGCAAAAAAACAAGAAATTTTGGGTGGAATTGAACCCGAGGGCAAAAACGCGATCACCGTTTCACAGAGCTGAGCCTTTATCCCTTGTCAATCAATGATACAAAAATCTTGGCTAATTGAATGGAAACTGACTTTATGATTACGATATTTTATCTAAAATAGATGCTTTTTTAAAAAGCGAATTAGCTGATAGAAAAGAAAATACAAAGGAAACAAAATAGAAAACACAAAAAAACATCCGGTATTTGCACAAAAGCTCAAAGAAAGACGCAATCCAATCGATTATGCATTCAAGAACATAAAAAATCTATAAAAATTTGAAATAAATATGCTTTTTGTCAAAAATTTCACAAATGAATACCTTTTTTTGATTTGGTGAGAGAATTTTTACGAGAAGAGAAGAAAAATTGAATTTTCTTGCTCAACAAAAATGTTCAAATGAAAATTTGAAAATAAATGCAATTTTAGCTTTCAAAATTTCTTTTTGGAATCTAAATTAATATTTTTAATACTGTTTGTAATAAAAAACAAATAAAATTTGATTTTCAAAAAGACATTTTCGACTTTCGCAATCGTCTTTCTTTCCAAACTCACTCATTTTCTTGCAACACAAAATTTTCGATAAAATTTTTTTCGATAACGACTTTAAAATAGCATTTAAAGTTTGAAATCGCTCAATTTTTTAAGAAAATTCCTAACTGAAGCAGAATTTAGTAAAAAGATTTATAAAATTTGTATAAATTTAAAGTTTTGTGAATCATTTGTCTTCGACTTTTATTGCGTAATAAAAATCCGAAATTCTTCCTTTTTTCTGAAAACCGATCAATTTTTGGTATCGTTTGAGTGAAGAAATTCTTTTATTTAAAGAAAAATAGTTTTACATTTGGTTTTTTTAAACAGGATAATAGTTATTTTTGTATACTTTGTGCTTTGAAAAACTTGTAAACGAATCTAGAATTGAAGAGAATGTCCGATAATCGTTTCAGCAGCTCCGAAAAGAATAGCGAGTCGAAATTTAGGGTAAATATTGTAGCTTTTCCTCGGTCAGAAAGTTAAGATTTCTTTTAGGATGCTAAGCTTCAAGATCGAGAAGTTGACGAGCTCTACCAAATTTTCCAAGAAAAGATAAAGGTTAGAAGGATCCGATCGGATGTCCGGATCTGGATCTCTAAGCAAGCATACGAAGAACAAAAAGACGTACTA